TTGTTGTTCACCATATAATATTTAATTATTATTTTATTATATAATAAAAATAAATATTGTTAAATAGTGTAGTAGAACTGTTATAAAATTATATGATTTTTTATTTTTTTACAATATGAATTTAATATTTTTTTTATGATTTGATAATATAAACAAATCTATACTTAACTTTGACAAATAAAACAAATAAATACTTTAGTAAGTATTTAATGTATATACTAAATAGGAATATACTTGGTATAATCAAATACTAAATATAATCAAATAAGTCAAAGTGTACATTTTTATTTGGTATTTGATTTTTTTATTATTAAAATCTTTTTATTATACTTACCTTTTTAAAATAAAATAAATAAATAAATCAATTAAATAAATAAAATATTATAATACCAAAATAGTAATGACATTTAATGCAGTTGACTTTTCTGAATAGTAAATATAGTAAATAGAATCTCCTTTTATATAAGTATAGATTGTATAATACGGAAATAGTAATGCAATAAATGTTGTTGACTTTTCTTTATACTAAATCTGGTAAATGGTATACCTTTTAATATAAGTATAGATAAGTGGAATTCGAGTTTATTTATCAAATTGTTTTAGTTAACAAGCTGCTCGGCTCGATAAAAGTTCTAGTCCAGACTCCAACTTGGCTTCACTCGGTTACAACTAGAAGCAGGAGTAGTCCAATTTTAGTTTAATTTTTTTTTTTTTTAAAAAAACATTCTAATAAAATAATATTACAAAATTGTCATTTTTCTTTCGAAACGACAGAATGTATAAACACTGGGAAATAAGTTTTAGGCCAAGCCCATATAAACATAGGAGTAACACTCCTAAATGGAACCAGAGAGAGATTTCACTTCCGACAAAGGTAATCTTTGAACCCCGCAAGCTATCACCAAACTTCAACCTAGTCTAGTCGAAAGCAACTATACCAAGGCAACAAAATTAACTTGCCACTGCCAATGACCTCTTGGCCTAGTGGTAAGAGTGAGGCACCCTTGACATGAGGTCAAGGGTTCGAGCCCCCCGGAGCGCAATGGTGGAACAATTAATAATTAGGACTAGAAGCGGCAGTGTGGGAGGCTGAAACTCGGTGGGAACCAGCGGCTGGATAGGTGGGGCCAGCATGAAGTTGGGGGGGCCAGCGAGCGATCACTTCGGTGGGAACCAGCGGCTGGATAGGTGGGGCCAACTTGGAGCTGGGAGGACCAGCGAGCGATCACTTGGGGATCGACTCCTTGTGCGCGGCAGTTGAGGGTATTAAGTACCTGGGAGCCATTGTGTGGCTACCGCGGTTTAATTGGAGGCAATGTCTGAGGGGCCGGAGCTGTTTCCTCGAGGACTAGTCAGGCGCAAGCCTAGAACCTCGGTATCAAAAAAAAAAAAGAACAAAAAAAAATAACTTCCCAGTGCACCCATAAGGACCTAGCAAGCTAACAAATACAAAATTGTCAATAGATTCCATCTTTTACTGGACCCTCACATGCACTGTCTCATACTTCCAAAAATAAAAATAATCAATGTGGAAATTCCAAAACAAAAATATCATGAGCTTTATTAGGCCCCAAGCCAAAACCCTAGCCCACCAATTTTATTCAACCCCCATTAAATTAAACAAAATGGAATTAATAAAAAAATTAGATTCCTAAAAGGACATTAGCACCGTTGGTTCCCCAAAATTTGGAGGTGGGTTGTGTTCAAGTCTGTCACTGTCAACTTTATTGAAAATTTATTCTATACTGTGCTGTAATTAGGCTATGGTGCATTAATATAACATTACTACTATTGTATATGGTGCGTGCAAAAGCGTGTTGTGCTTGATACTTTGATAGTAACCAATTGGCGGCATGGGATCTTTCTGTTTCTTTTGAATGAATTAGTGACAACAACTGTTTTAGCATTTCTATTTTCCTTTTGAATCTCATCACATGAATACACCAAATTAATACGCGTGAAACACATAAAACCATGAAAAGTAACAAATAAACTTAATTTATTTTTGTACACCCTAAGGTGTATGAGTAGATTAGTATAATGGTAAATAAAACCGCAATGAAAAATAATGGAAAATTATTATAATTGTAAATGGTTTCAACACCGGATATACAAAAAAAGTAATCGTGTTGAAATGTAATTGAGAAGTAGAAGTTTATAATATTTTTTTTATAATAATTAATCTTTTCATACTCTTATATTAATAGTTCTAACTCAACTTTAAGCTCACAATTAGAAACCGAACATGATTTTTCTCTTAAGAAAATAAAAGTAAAGAGCAACTGCAAACGCTCCTTAGCATATGAAATCAATTGTAAAAGAAATGCAAATAACAAACAAATGCAGCTTATGAATCAAAGCTACAATATTTTCATATATGGTGCAGTGGTTGCGAATAAACTTAAGCATTATTGTATTAAAGAGTGGTCACGCTTGTGTTTGCATAAACTATTGAGGGCTTTGGGGACAATTTTTTGTTTGAATTGAACTCACCTTTCATGCCATTTGAATTATGCAAATGTGTCCTTCTCCAGATATCACTTTGAATAGATTTCTTATTCGATCGTCATTTTATAATCATTATTATATTAGGTTTATTATTGTTATTATTATCATCGTTTTTATTTAAACAATTCCCTAGATAACAATTTGAATCGATTCTTTCATTAGTCAAATAATGCCACGGGATAAGTTAATTAAGGGTTAGTGCACAAGAATGGTTAGTGCCAAAGCCCAAGTGAGGTTTGATTTGGTGTGGGCACGGCAAGATCTTTTATTGTAAAAAAATTGATGTATCATGTGCTACACCAATATCACTGAAATTTCATTTGTTTTCGTTTTTTTGGTTAGTTTTTCTTTTCTTTTTTTTTTTTTTTTCTTTNTTTCTTGCAACGATGTAGGATAATTAGAAAATGTGAATTAAGATTTCTGGTTATTACTTTCCGATCGAGTAACATAATTTCAGATAAAGTGTAGGAGCGCTTGAAGCAATTCAAACTAGTAATTTACACAACAATAACAATTAGCCAAAGTTGGTTATTAAATTCCTAACATGTTGTGTAAAATCATTTCTTCAACAGAGAATTCTAAATATTTCCAGAAATTGTCTCGTCAAAAGTAGTTATAAAACATTTATATTGGGTGGATAATGGGTCATGGTCAGAGCCGAATCAAAAGTGAAATTGCTAGTCCATAATAGGTTTGAAAGTGGGCTGAAAAAAGTAAGCCCATTATTTATTAGCCAATTTAAGTTGGTTTTATCTTTGGTTACTCAAGTAGGCCATAAGTAAATGAAAATTTTTTATTCAAAAATCATATTCCAGTTAGAAAAATACTAGTTAGAAAAATACTATAAGTACATAATAAATGTACATAGAGGTGTACATAACACTCATCACAATTAAGTGTACATATAAGTGTTATGTACACCATATTATGTACCTATAGCATTTCTCTTCCAATTATGTGATGATGTCATAATTATACATGTGTCAAACATCAAACAAACTAAAACAAGAATTGAGACATACTTTTTAAACAAACAATCTTTTCTCTAACAATCACAAAGTATCAATTTGACCCAATTCCCAATTGAAAATAAACTTCCAAAGAGACTATAGGGCAAATGGAGTGAGACCAAAGAGAGAGGATCAAGCGTAAAAATGAAAAACCACCCGACCTAAAAATACAGTTAAAAACTCCATAAAAATGGTTACTAAATCCAACATAGTGCTATTGTCTGCTCTCTGTTTATCTTTTGAAGATAGACGAAGTCTTCTGGTTTTATGATTTTTTATCTAGTCACTTTTGACAAGATAAATTCTTTTTTTTTTTTAATTCAAAATTAAATCAACTCAACTCTCCTCGATATTATCAATTCAATCAATAATCTTCATACATCACATCAACTTTAATTATTTAATCACATAATTTTAACTACTCATTACTTTCAATCACATTTCTCCTACTTTTACATCAAATTAATTTTAATCATTATATTTAAATATTATTTTAATACAAACTCAAGAGTACACTCAAACCTAACTCAGTCAACTTTTTCAACATTAACTTTGGTTATCCAACAAATTCAATCAAAATTAAGTAACTTTATATCCAGTCAACCCCTTAGTCTCTTCGTCAACTATGCAAACCCAAGAGAGGTGTATATTATAACTCTTTCTAGTATTTGAGGCAATGAAATTTTCAATAGGTAGAGGGAAAAAAATCCAACTTTAGGATAATCCATCAAACAACAACAACAACAACATACCCAGTATATTCCCAACAGGTTGGGGTATGGGGGGTCAGTTGTACGCAGACCTTACCCTTGTAATTATACAAGGAAGTTGTTTCCGTAGCGACCTAAGGTGCATTGCGCCGTTTGATATTTTTTTTTTTTTTTTTTTCTAAAAACTTCACTAATAGAAGAAGCACTAGAATTTAATTGAGTCATTTTGATCTAGTCCATTATTAGCACTATGTCGAGAGAATTGTCAATGATGACTCTTCCAGCTCCATTTGCAATGGACAAAACTTTAGGATAATCCATCAAATTTACCTAAATCTGATCTCTATTTTGTTTACATCCATGGTGAACTCAAAAGGCCACTAAAAACAACAACAAGAAACGGAGACAAATTCAAACCAAATCGAACAAATCGGAAGAGAAAGGGGATTGCAAAAATAGGGGCCTCAAATCAGACCTCATTACAACTAACTGCTACAAGTTCAGTTTTGAAAATTCTAGTTGTTTTGATAATAGGAAATCTAACATGAGAGATGACACACATAAAATTACCTACTACAACTCCATTCAGAATATTTTGGTCAGGAGTGAAGGTGGCAATGTTGAGAACTTGTATATGCCTTGCATGTGCCATGAATTTATTTATATGCATATAAAGTATTTTAAAACTAATTTCTTAATTTAAAATTAATTTCTTCGTGAAGTATATGTATATCTACAACAAGAAAAGAAATGTCAATCACAAATTTTAGGGTGAAACAACCTAATCATTAGACAGGTCAACCTGTAATACTTTTTGAACAAAAGTGTATATTTATATGATAAATTGTCATACTTCTAAGTTATATTTTAAAATGTAACATTCGTTTATAAAAGTATACATATTCATTACAAATTGCATCTACCTCACCGTTAGACCTGCCTAACAGCAACCAAGAAGCGATATCCCATGCATATTATCTTCACACAACTGGTGGAACTAATAAGATTCAGAATTTCAAGATAATTACAAAGTGACACTAAAACCCATTGGCCAACTTAAAACAAAATACAAAAAGAATTACTAAAAAGAAAAAATTGTTAGCTGGACAGTGAACACAACACATAAACAAGGACGCCTTGAACTACTTTCAGATTTCAGTTTCACATTCCCTTGGCAATGTGTACAAAAACAGATGACTTACACTGGCTATTTACATTCCTAAATGATTGAATGTAATAAAAAAAAGATCACACACACACAGAAAAAAATAAAAAATAAAAAAGAAAGAAAAGGGGGTGAAAGTGATGGTGTTTACCAGAGGCCAATGATATTGACAATGAAATCAACGTCCAATCGATCGCCTGCCTGAATTTTCTATCTTGAAGTCTACAGATTCTTGTAAGAAAAATTATTTGGTTTTTGCATCCCAACGATTTTTGTGGACCTCTAAATAGTGTAGTCGGTTTGGAGGAATCTCTCGTAAGTTGTTCCATTGAGAGCCATTTTAACGTCAGCCCAATTCTTGATGTGATTGGATAATGAACCTCGGTGTATCTTCACCTGTCGGCCTGTTAACTCCATCACAGGCAACCCTAGAAATTGCTGCACTTCTACAAGTTTCTGTAACACATGTTAAGGATGAAAAATGAATCAAAATGTTTTATTATGGCAATGATTCTAAGGACCTAATGAAATGCCACTTAGAAATATATATGCCACCATATGGGGTTATTTCTCATAATTTTCATTTATATACAAAAAGCAGTGTAAGTTACGAAAAATAACATTTTGTTGGTAAACAAATAATGGACCACAAACGAAATGCAGATCACAAGACTTAGAATTCCATGTGAGGAGCAGAAAAACTTCCAGTTCGGTTTTTAACGAGATCTTCATAATACAGAATAATGTGCCTAGTGCTGCTGAAATTCTCCACAACCTCAAAGGCCATCTTCTCCATGAGCTTCAGATCCATCACCAGTGACATTGAGTTGATCTCAGGTTTATAACTGGACAGAGTCTCAGCCTACACGAGAGAAAAAGGTACACCAAACCAAACTGAAATTTTTATTTCTATTAAGTTGTTTGTTTGGTTTTGAAGGTGGGGCGAAAAGAAAAGTTTGTACCTCTTCAAGCGAATGAACATGGGATTTATGTGTCCCATTCAGCCGATCGTAAGAATTCGCAAGCACCGAAACCATCCGGCGCAGAAGGTTTCTCCGGAAGAGGAATATTTACCCTAGCTAGTTTCCACGCTTTTTTCTCTCATTGTTTTGTATTGTATGCTCACCCTTGCTTGCTTGTACCATATTCTGATTGAGACGGAACTCATTCAAAATAGCCTCATTTTTTGCCCAAACAGTTTTCCTCCACCTACTCTACAACATTGCATAGCCTGATTTTTACTACCTTGCAAATGTTACTCCATAGTTTTTTCACAAGGAATCGTATATGTACAAAATAGTTCAAAAATGAGACACCGACATAGCAAACAATCAGCAGGGTGTCCTTGTCCAACAAAACATAAAAACAAAATTTACACACAAGATATCACCCAAAACATCTACTGTAAAGTGAATTGATGAGCCATATACTTTGAATGCAAAGGTAGAACCAAACATCTCAAATTTCTGGCCCAGTTGGCAATAATAAACTGATTTCCTACATTACATAATATACTTTCAAAGCCAGCCATACCTGCATAGGAAATTGGTAAACATACTAATAATGTAGGTAGATATATCAAGGAGCCTTCATATACAAAGGAAGGACATTCAAAAACAAACTAAAAGGGTAAACAGGGTTAATGGTAAGATACTACCCATCACAAAACAAACCATAATTCCTACACATAGTGACAAAAGCCTGGAAACTAGCTAATCATAAACACAAACCAAAATACCCCCACCAATTAAGCCTAATAAACCACATATATTGATAAAATCACAAGGCAGCAACATTCATGCACACCATCAATGGCCCCGGGACTCGATCATCATCTGCAGACGAAGCTTTGCCTGTTGAGCCTTCAACTCAAAATGCCTCATGTACACCTCCATCTCTTCAATCTCCAGATTCTTCAATGATTCTTCGTCCTCCATTTCGACCCTGTTTTCTTCCTCAGCAGCCCCACTTCCATTGCCTTTTTGGACCCTGTTTTCTTCCTCAGCAGCCCCACTTCCATTGCCTCTTTCGACCCTGTTTTCTTTCTCAGCAGCCCCACTTTCATTGGCGTTTTCTTTCACAGCCCCCCACACTTTCTCAGACAGATCGTAGGCTTCCTGCTCATGCTGGCTCGTAAAGGTTCTTCCTTTACCATCATGCTCCTTTTTCTTGTTGTTTGTGTACTTTTTTTTCATCCTAGAAATCTTATCCCTCAGCTGGGCCCTCGTCGCGTCAATTTGCAAATTCTTCTTGATCAACTCGAAAAACGAGTCAAAATTATCACTCGGGTCGGATTTCTTCTCGGCCCTAAACTGCAAAATTCCCTTGAGGATGGTGATTTCGTCGGCCTCGCTCCAAATCCTCTGGAACAGTTGTTTCTTCTCGGGTTCAGCCTTCTTACTGTTCTTCGACTTCTTGGTGACAGTGGGCTCCGTCCCCTTAACCTCCTCCACGGCCCTCTTCCTTGTAGATCTGGCCGCTGAAGCGGAAGCGGAGGCGGAGGCGGCCTTGTCCTTGCCTTTCACCTTAGATTTTTTTCTGGACCTCTTGTCAGATTCGGATTCAGAATCCTCGTCGGATGGGGCGGGCATTATGGCGGAAGGGGTTTGGGGTTTCCTCGCGGCGGCCGGCGGTGCGGAAGACTTTCGGATCGGTTCGGGCTCAGATCCGATTTCCTCAGACGAAGAATCGCCAGTTTCCTCCTCGCCAAAAGAGGTTTCAGAGGAGACGGGCTCACGGGCTTTCGACATTTTTCGGTGAGAAAATTATAATGTTAGGGTTTTTCTTTAGAGGGGACAGACACAGTGATTGGCGAAGTAGTGGTAAGTTAAATAAAAGGTTTGGCTTGTCAAGTACGCGATGTTAATTATTAAAAGTGGAGTGGAGCGAACTGGAGAGAGACCCTTTTTTTTTAGGCACCTTACATATAAATATAATGGATAATTCTTTATAAATCTCCAATCACTTTTACAATTTCTTTGTGTCCCTAATTCCTTTTTTATTCATTTACACTCCCTAATATAATTAAATCAACCATACTCTCCTCGACATTATTAATATAATTGAATAATATCTTCACACATCGTATTAACTTTAATCATTTACTCGCATAAATGCTAACTCAATCAACTTTTTCAAAATTAACTTCGATTATCCAACAAATTCAATCAAAACTAAATAACTTTATATCCAGTAACCCCCTTAGTCTCTTCGTCAATTATGCAAACCTAAGAGAGGTGTATATTATAACTCTTTCTAGTATTGATGCAATGAAATTTTCAATAGGTAGGAGAAAAAAATCCAACTTTAGGACAATCCATCAAATTTACCTTAATGCGATCTCTATTTTGTTTACTTCCACGGTGAACTCAAAAGGCCACTCGATTCGCCGAAAACACCCTCCTACAAGTATTAGGGAGGGTGTCTTTTTCCGGCGGGGGCAAATTCAAACCAAATCGAACAAATCGGAAGAGAAAGGGGATTGAAAAAACAGGAGCCTCAAATCAGACCTCATTACAACTAACTGCTACAAGTTCAGTTTTGAAAATTCTATTTGTTTTGATAATAGGAAATCTAACATGAGAGATGACAATCACATATTTTAGGGTGAAACAGCCTAATCATTAGAGGGACGATTGTATACAAATTGTACAGTAAAAAATATCAATCAAAACTCAAATTTAACTCCACTTCACTATCTCCAATATTATCAATATAATTAAATAATATCAACCAATCATTCTTACACATCACATCAACTTTAATTTATTATTAATCTACTCACATAATTTACCTAATTATTACTTCCAATCATTTTCTCCTACTTTTACATCAAATCAACTTTAATTATTTTATTTTAAATATTACTTTAATATACCCACTAACAACTAATCATACGACCTTTTTTCAAACTTAACTATAATTGAAAAATAACCAGTTTTTTACTAGTTGAATTCATATCCAATCACCCCCTCGACATGTCAACCTGTAATACTTTCTTAACAAAAGTGTATATTTATATGATAAATTGTCATACTTCTAAGTTACATTTTAAAATGTAACATTCGTTTATAAAAGTATACATATTCAATACAATTTGCATCTACCTCACCGTTAGCCTGCCTAACAACAACCAAGAAGCAATATCCCATGCATATTATATAGACACAAATGGTGGAACTAATAAGATTAGAATTTCAGGATAATTACAAAAGTACACTAAAACCCATTGG